AGTGACTGTAGCCAAAGAGCTGGTCAAAGTAGCCAACTGAGTCTTCAGCTGTTGCAATCTTTTGTCCACCTCCCCACCCGCAAACGGCCCATCCCCACTGCTACTGCTAACACCACTCTCAGACCCACTGGCCTCTTCAGACTTTGGAGGTGGTCCACGGGTCGGTCTGTCATCTTCTACCCCAAACTCACCCTTAGTGCTGGTGAGACTGGCCGCAGTATCCAAGCTGGTGGCGGTCCCAGTGCTATCCTCGCTGTGGGTGGAGCATCGGTCATCCACAGAGTCAGGAAAGGTGAGGCCTGGAGGCTGGACACCTGCAAGGCCCACATCCGCTTCGTGGGATACCGACAGCACCTTGATGCTGGCCTCCAGGCCTCCTTCTCCTTCAGCAGGCTTTTATAGGCGCGGACCACATCCTTGAGCCGTGCCTGGTACTGGAGGAGCTGCTGCTTCTGCGTCTCTATGGTCTCCAGCAGGTCCTTTTTGCTCGGGCCGCCCCCAAAATTCATCCCAAACTTCTCCATGGGGTTTCTGAACAGGCTGCTCCACGTCAGCGTTCGGGCAGCCCGGGAGAAGGCCGCAAAGACGGGGAGGAGGCCGTCCGGCCGCGTGCCGCACCCCCGCTCCACCCAGCCGCCCGGGACCGGATGCGGGGCGGCCGGGCAGCCTAGCAGAAGCGCCCGCCGGGTCCCAAGCCCGGAGGGCAGGAGCGGGTCCTACCCTGGAGGCGGGGCGACGCTGGCACGAGAAGAGCGCCCTGCCAGGGCTCGCCAGCACTGGCCCAGAAGCCGCCCCGCCCTCTCCGCTCGACCGGGCCGCCGCAGCCCGGGTCGGCCCCTCGGCCCCGGGTCGGCCAAGGGCTTAGGCTGAGCGTGGGTTCATCTAAACTTCCTAACTACCGCGACCCGCCGACAGCGGCGCTTCCGGGTCCGCCGGAAGCGACGACAGCACGACGCCAAGAGCTCCGCCCCCGTGGGCGCGAGGTGGGCGGGGCCACTTCGGCCGGTGGGTGGGAGGTGGCCCGTTGAGAACCCACCCGGGGCGCCCGCAGCTGAGGACCGGTAGTGGGAAGAGCGTAATAAGCAAGGTCGAGGACACCAGAGTGATGGTTTGGTGAGGGCGCCAGAAATTGCCCTCGGGCTGCGATCAGCGAGCGACAGGGGGCGACCTCGCACTGCTTTCTTACCAAATACCCGGGTGAACGACGCGTCCAACGCTTTGGGGCTCAGATCCATGTCCCATAAAGGGCAACAATTAAGACTCCCATTTAGGGCCGGCCCGTAGCTCACTCGGGAGAGTGCGGTGCTGATAACACCAAGGCCACGGGTTGGGATCCTATATGGGGATGGCAGGTTGGCTCACTGGCTGAGCATGGTGCTGACAACACCAAGTCAAGGGTTGAGATCCCCTTACCGGTCATCTTTAAAAAAAAAAAAAAAAAAAA